TCCCTTTGTACCTCAGCCTCCCATTGGTAATATGGGAATAGTAGTGCTCTACATCACAGAGCTGTTGGGAGAATAGATACCTGCCCACAAATAAACAGGTACTAGAATCATAGAACACTAGAACTGGAAGGGACCTCAAGAGATCATCGAGTCCAGTCCTCCACCCTCAGAGTAGGACCAAGCACCGTCTAGATCATCCCTGACAGGTGTCTGTCTAACCTGCTCTTAAATATCTCCAGTGATGGAGATTCCAAAACCTTCTCCCCTCCCCCAGGCAATTTATTCCAGTGTTTGACAGGCAGGACATTTTTCCTGATGTCCAACCTAAACCTCCCCTGCTGCAATTTAAGCCCATTGCTTCTTGTCCTATCCTCAGAGGCCAAGGAGAACAATTTCCCCCCCTTCTCCTTACAACACCCTTTTAGATACTCAAAAACTGCTCTCATGTCCCCTCTTAGTCTTCTCTTTTCTAAACGAGCCCAGTTCTTTCAGTCTTCCCTCATAGCTCATGTTTTCTAGACCTTTAATCAACAGGAAAAACAGACTTCTAAAGACTTTCTAAAACTCTTTGAACTTCCCCAGTTCTGCCTGTCAACAACACTAACCCAGCCCTCTGGAAATTTAATTAGCCATGACAGTGGGTGGCCCAAGGACCCTCACATGACTACAAAAGCAGCAGCTTTTCAACACATGTAATAAAGTGGTTTAGCACACACTACACCAGAAAAAACAGGTCTGCACTGAACAGAGGGGTCCCAATATTACACTTAGACAAGATATTTACACAAGGGCTCTTGTAATATCTTACAAGAACACTGTCAATGTTTAATAGGGTCTAAGACATAGATCTTGAAAGTTGTTTTGTGTGGGTGGACCTGGAGTGAAACTCCACTGAACAAAATGGGACTCCATGCATGGAAGCTTTTACATCTTTTATCTTATTTTACATTTCATAATGACAAAAACGCAACCTTTATGAGGTTTTATTCTGCATAGAGCACAAGTGACTTTGTGAATTTACGATGTCCCGCATTGTACCCTGTGTCACACACTGGTTTCTTTTGGTCTCCCCAAAATCCAGTCAGAATCAAATCTTATTTTGGAAAGGGAGAAAAAAAGTGGTCAAATTCAGGCTGTAAGCACATTTACCATAATTGCTGTTACCATGGGTTCATTCAGGCTATTTGCTGCCCCATGTTATGCTCTCTCAGAAGATTATTCCATCCAGGCACAGGAATACACCTGTGTGAAACATGGCGTAGAGTGATCAGAGGGTATATTCACTGATTAAGCTTTATATCCTAAGCCTGCAAAGTACTTAAGCACCATTTTAAAATACTAGTCCTCCTGGGATGGGTGGGTCACAAAGGACCCAGGTTTGTGGAGTAGCTCCCCTTCCCATAGGGACTGGGAACGCTGCCCTGTGGTCATCCACGGGGCTGCTTCTGGTCTCTCCTTTCCCTGAGCACCAATGACAGGGGTATCCTGCAATCCTAAACCCACAGCTCTTGCCTTTGTGGGTCTCTTCAAGCTGGCTGATGTCAGCAAGGGCAGTAACCATGGAATCTGTACCCAGCTGGAGCAGGTGAATTGTTCTCCCACTATTAATGACGGGTGCCAAACCTGAATGGCCCTGTAACACCAAGTTGCAACAGCATTCACTCAAATTGGACCCAGCTGTCCCATTGTCACGATGGAGGAGTGGCGGAGCCAAACCTGAGTGGTGCTGTAGCTCATGTTCCAGGTCACAAAGCCACTCACTCAAATTTGTCCAGCTACGCCTCTGTCATGACAGAGGGGCGGCCAGGCCAGACTTGAGATGGGGGCCCTGTGAAAATACACCAGGTGCACGTTGGTTAATCTGGGCCTCATTTCTAGGGCTGCAACTGAACCCATGAAATCACACCAAAGCTGTCGCTGATCTTTCTGAACAAAGATACAAGATTGCCCAAGATCCAAAACTCAGATCGACAGGACAAAAAATAATTTAAAAAACTGCTCTAACCAAAAGCTGATGCTAACCACTTAGAAGCTTTTTCAACTGATACAGGATCAGATATCCTGTACCAAAGAAGAGAGATGATGAAAAAACTCAGCCAACATATATAAAAACCCCTGAAAACAGGAAACTAGCCAAGACAGTGCCATTATCTAAAAAACAGCAAAGAATAGAACAAAAAATTCAGTCCAATTATTTGAACTTCAGCCTTAGAGAAAGTATCATCATCTTTTTAAAGAGATCAGTTGGAGAGCATTTATTAACATAGTTAGGGTTTCTGAAGCCCTGTTAGTTTTAATCACCTATTATTTTCTAACTTGTTTGAGTTCTTTAAGGATAAATCTACCGAAAGTGATAAAAGGGCTCCACTGAATATTCACTGATCAGGAAACTTGCTAGAGAATATTTCACATTCAAGGTTAATGAATCTGGTACAAAAAGCCACAGGAGACCAAGTTGAATTTAAAAACTAGAGAATGAGAGATACTCTCTCACCTAAACCATCCACTTGCTTCATGAAAAATCTCTTTAGAAAACTTGAGGAGATAGCTTAAGTCACTGAGATAAACATGTGAATTTTCGCAAGATTTTCTAAAACAGCTAAAGAGCCTGAAGCACTTTCAAATGAACCCAAAATAGAAGCTAAGAACATGGACTCAACATGAATATTATTTATATTATAGTTATGTAACACCAAAACATCACAAGGAGCTTTAGATAGATTTCAGAACAAAATGATTTCTACTTAAGGTTGCTCACCATCTACATCATACAGACACAGCAAATGAAAATAAAATGAATAGGGAAAACACAGTGCCGGGATGCACAAAACAAAACGAACTCATGGTGCTTCTAGGTTGGGATCCTCTATGATCTTGATTAATATTTTCAGCTCCACTCCGAAGTATCTTACTCTGTGAGATACCTGATCCACAGCAAAGCCAATAAGAGTCCTTCAACTGGTTTCAGGAGGTTTTAGTAAAGGACCTGAATGGTATTAAGGAAATTGTACTCAAAACTTGGTGGAAAGTAGAAGCAGAATAAGCAATGTAAATCTTATTAAAAAGAAACTGTAAGAAATCCCCCCAGAGAAACCATCCACACACTAAACCCAATGCTGGAACTCAATGAAAACTAGTCTTTAAGGCCAGATCTATCCTAAAGGGGAAAGTTGACTTAAGATATGCAACTTTAGCTATGTTAATTATGTAACTGGAGTCAAAGTATCGTAAATCGTGTTTTGGCACCATCCACACAGTGGAGGGTTGACGGGAGCACACACTCCCTTTGACTTCCCTTCCTCCTCATGAGGAGCAGAGCTACTGGTGCGGATGGAAGCACGCTCTCAGTTCAGATTAGTGGGTCTTCACTACACCCCCCCTAATTCGAACCCCAGAAGATACACTGCATCCGTTTAGATGCATCTGTAGTGCAGACAAGCCATAAGCAGATTTAACAAGCGGTCAGAAGGGATTTCTGTGGAAAAGAGTAGAAACAAAATAATGTAACTTTTCCTTTTCCCCTGCCCCTGACACCACAGTCCTTTAGAAATTTGCTGGCTATTGCAAGAAACAAACTGCCCGAGAACATTAAAATATATCCTGTTTCTATTGTCCTTTCCTTTTTGGATATGGAAGTGATTGTGGACGTAACTCAGTCCTAAGATATGCTCATTGCTATGCACATCAGGGTAACCTGATAACTGTACAGGTGCAGCTGAGTTCTGAGTTATGGCCTCAGTTTGGCCTTTTGTCGTACTGGATTTTTAAAGTGTAGTTGCATTTTTTAAAAGAGCTATGTTGGCATAGCATGGTTGTATAAGCACAGCCTACACTGACAGAGGGCTTTCTGTTGAGATAGGAACACCACTTCCCTGACGGAGGTTAGCTATGTTGATGGAAGCACTGGCTGTCTGCCCCCGTGGTGGTGGTGGTGGTGGGGGTTATGTCATCATAGCCACATCAGTCTGGTGGGTGTTTTTTTCCACTCTTCACCATTTTAAGTATGCAAAGATAAATTTCAAGAGCAGACCAAGCCTTACACATGTCTAAAGACACAAGGAACTGCAGGATGTTTCAGCTACCACCACAATAAAAGCAAAGGTAGAGTAGCTCTGAACACAATACAGAAAACAACAATCAGTCTATAGTCCCCACTTCTATATAGTTAATTCTAACATTAACTGGAATCTAAATCTTCACTTATAGTCCTTTAGTTCATGCTGTACATAGGCCAACCCGAGCCCTTTTGGCGCCCTGGGATCGGGCGCGCGGCACCACCCCAGGCGCAGGGTGCATGCGCAGGCCTGCCCGTGGGGCGCGGGCCCACCCCCCAGGGCGCACGGCGCATGCGCTGCCCAGCTTGGCCCAGCCAGCGCTGCTGGCGCACGTGCCGGGCCGTGCAGGGCCCCGCAGCCATGGGGGGAAAGACGCTGCTAGCCGGCACCACAGGGATGTGGGCGGGTCGGCACTGCGGGAGCCAGGTGCGCAGCTCCTGATGGCAGCTGTAAGGGACGCTGCTCCCCCCCTTACAGTTGCCATCAGGCGCCCCTCATCAGTTGGCGTCCTGGGCAGCTGCCCGGCTCACCCATTCCTCTGTCCGGCCCTGAATGGGAGCTGCCTGTTTCATGCATTGACACCAATACAGAACATCACAACTTCAAATTCTGCATTAGAGCTCATTTGTATTTTCTCCAGTAGCCGAAAGCCAGACTGCTAATATTAGTTTATGCTTATTCTTGTACCACAAATAGTCACACAGATGACTAAAGCTATCTTTAACCAAGCTGTTCAATGACTTACTTTCAGCAGATTTTAAATACGATTTCCTTGATGACACCAATACAGAACATCACAACTTCAAATTCTGCATTAGAGCTCATTTGTATTTTCTCCAGTAGCCGAAAGCCAGACTGCTAATATTAGTTTATGCTTATTCTTGTACCACAAATAGTCACACAGATGACTAAAGCTATCTTTAACCAAGCTGTTCAATGACTTACTTTCAGCAGATTTTAAATACGATTTCCTTGAGGCATATATCAGATGGGCATTATGCTGCTGGTTTTCGGTGTGGAAAAGAGTCCATTTTTGCCACAGTAGAAGGTGTGAATAAGTGAAAATATGTCCCCTGAGAAATCTGAAAAAGAAAAGACTGTATATTAATCATCTTCCTTGCTTTGCACTCTTTGAATGACACCAATCAATGCATTTTTAAAAGTCTGCCCTACCCTTGTATATTAGGTGTCCACCGTATTGCACTGACATTGTGCAATAACATCGTCAATATCAAAGGTATTTGCATTGGGAAAGCAGATTAGTCGGGTATCCCTCTGCCCAGTCTGTGCACACAAGTGGTATTCCGAATGTGCAAGAGGGTGCAATATTTACAAAAGAACGGCCATACTGGGTCAGACTAAAAGTCCATCCAGCCCAGTATCCTGTTTGCTGACAGTGGCCACTGCCAGGTACCCCCAGAGGGAGTGAACAGAACAAGTAATCATCAAGTGATCTCACCCACATTGCCCGTTTCCAGCTACTGACAAACAGAATCTAGGGACACCATTCCTACTCATCCTGGCTAATCGCTGTTAATGAACCTATCCTCCGTGAATTTATCTAGTACGTAGACAGGCATGAAAAAAATCAGTCTTTAGGCAATGGGAAAACAACCTGAAATATTTTTTTTTGTGGTCAAATTTTCACTTAGAGTTAAGCAAGAGGGTGCAGGGACATGTCATAAAATTTCAGGAAGTGAAATGATGAGAAGAGCAGCCATAGGGAAGGGCTTTTGAGGGTGAGAAGTTACCCATCACCAGTCACTGTTGGAGAGGAATGTTAGGAGCCATTGTAGTGCTAAGAATCTACTCTAGCAGTAGCTTGTAGGATGGTGAGTAGTAGGAGCACTGAGATACAGTTTCCGCCCAACAGCAAGACACCCAGGGTGTTGGTACACATTCTATTGTTGGAACTTGGCTGTCATTACATTGACAGTCTTGCTAGGAAAGGGTGGGCGGAGGGGAGGGGGTGTGAGAACTGAAGAGGTTTGCTTTGTGAAATGTTGCCTTTCTGATGATTGCGCAAGTCACTGTATTCTTCAAGAGAGTTTGGTAGGTTCTCGGCTCTGAAAGAAGCTGTGGCTTTCATGAAGTGGACTCAACTGTATTTTGTTGTGAGCCAAGAATCATAAATGGAACTAGGTATTTTTCAGGGCTTCACTTTGTATGATGAATCAACACACTGCTGAGATGCTGGTGTGATTAATGCCATCTGGTTACTTTTAAAGTGAAAGAAGCAAGATTTGCTTCTTTGTTCTACAAATGTTCCTTACCTTGCAGTACTCCTGATCATGAGTAGAGGGGGAAAGCACAGTGGAGTCACAAACTAAAACTGTGAGTAATGGGGTAGCGGAAAACAAGGTAGGAGCAAATAACTAAAATAAAGTAGCTTGAATTACCAGATCACATCAATGCTGAATCGTTTGTGGTCTTAGCTTTTTCTTGTGTACTTAAATCTTTTCTAACTGGCATTTATCCACAGGTAGCCCAAGTTCCCTATGTACAGAGGAGCATTATGGTGGTCTCATTTTTAAAAGGACTACTTCACATTTCTTCCGCTACCAGCCATGCTTGTCTTTTTATTCTGCTCCTGGTTTCCAATTGCCTTTAGAGACAGGTCATGGGAATGCTCACTCTTCTTGCATGCGTTTCTGAATGATGCTCATAGAATATTGATAGAGCAAAGGATTTCTTTAGTATTTGTTATCTGTTTAGTAACAACAAGGTGCTAGAGACTGTGTAAGACAAAAGCAGACACAATCTCAGCCTCCCTTTAGTCTACAATCCAAATCGTATCACACTATTAGACACATCATCACACTGCAAAACTCTAATGGGCAAAGGCCACAAGAAAGCATTTAGTAATTGACTGCACTGATCTCTCCTCCCAGTGAGAGTTAAAGTTCACTTTTCTTCACTGGGCTTGTGCCACCAGTTTCAGTTTTGGAGAATATGGGCAGCGGATTCAAGCAACAAGGATTGGGAGACAGCAGCTGAGTGGCATCAAAAGTGTTACTATTGTGAGCTTTGTATGAGAAGTTTTACTAGTGCATGCCTGCATTTACCTGTGAATTACAGTAGAAAAAAGTTCACACAAACACACCAAAATAAAGTTGAAAATCTCTTTCCTGCCTTTGTCTCCCATGCTTCAGATTCTGGGAGAGCAGATGCGATTTGGTTATCCTATTCCATTTGCAAGGTAATTTACAAGAGTACTGGGATTAATTCTTTTTTCACTTCTAAACCCTCTGCAATGTCACTTACAGTCTTTTTAGAACAGATACAAAGGAAATAATATGGGTATGAGGCATGGAATCAGGGATGATTCCTTTCCTAACATTTTGAAGGTACAGAGTTTAAATATAACAACCCCACTCTGTGTATTTCACTTAACCTACATAAATAACTGACAGCTTGTGAAGATCTCATTAGGAACAATGAAAACCATGTGTTGGACAAATCTAGAGTGACAGTAACCCCATTTAAGAATCACACACACACACACACACACACACACACACACACACGCCAAATGCACTATTACAGATCATTAAACAACTTGATAGCCATGCAAGTGACTGAGTAGTGACACATTGCTATACAGAGGATCAGCAGTTGAATCCTGTTTTCTGTCTTTCACAGCTCACCGGGGGTGGCAGGCTATGGAAGAGAAATGAAGATCACGTGTCATGTTTTATGATGAGAAAAGGGAAATTTAGGCCATTAGTAAAGCATGACCATGCTCGCCCATTTAAGTGTTCTAATGGGAGTCTGATTTCAGCCTGCAGTCAGGGCTGGATTAAGGCATAAACATTATAGACTCATGCCTAGAGCCCCTGGAATAAAGTGCTTATATCAGAACCTTAGCTTCCATTTAGAAAAAGAAAATGTCTAGCAGCTGTCATGGTTACGAAGGAAAGCTTGACAACGTGACGGGATGCTGTTCTGGGAAGAAGGATTGCTGAGCATGGGTGAGGTCCACCTACTGAGAAAAGGAAAGAGTATCTTCTGATGCTAGTGAGAAGTGCTCAAAGCTACATTCAATGGGGACAGGAGAAAAAAAAAAGATCAAAATTAGCCATACATCCACTATCTCTATTCAATCCGTGATTTTTAGTGGCTTGCAAAGTTATGAATTTAAGCTCCTAGGCCCATCTTCTGAACGTGTTGTGAAGGTTTCCTTTGAGGATAAGGACCGATAGGTCAGCTATAGAGTGGTCACTTTGCAAACAGTGTTTACCCATGGGTGAGAGGGTGCTTTTCACCTTCTATCGTTTTCCTGTGCGAGTTCACTCGCGAGTGTAGTGACTGACTGGTTTCACCCACATGGGTGTTATAGAGGGAGGGAAGTGTACTATTTGGGGTACACCGTACTTTGTGATAAACAAACGTAGGACCCATGGTGCTGCTTTGAGTCGGTGTGTCCTCGTCTGTGCAATTATTCTATGGAGGCACATGAAAGTGTGCACAGAAGCAGGGACAATTGACACGAGCATAAAAAAAATCAAAGAAGCTCAAATGTTTGTAGCTTCTTTTGAGGGTTCAAAGTTTTGTTTCATGGCAGCCACTTTTGTTTTGACTCATTAAATTATTTATGAACGTGTGCCCAGAAATAACGTGATAGGTGCAGAGGGTTTCAAGAAAAGTAAATAAGTTAGTGCCCCAGTTATCTGTAATTATTTTTCTTTTTAGTTTCTTGCTTCTTCAGACAACAAGTCCTTTTCAGAGCTCTGCTTATATACCATTTACAAATAGTACAGTAAGCCTAACTTCTCCCCATGAAATGGCTTTCATTTCTAAAAATATCCATGGCTGTTTATGAAACCACAAAAGGAATACAATATGTCACAAGAAGCAAAAAAGCCTCTCATTTTTTAAAGTCTGTCAGATCAATTCAGCAACATACCTTGTATCGTCACTCAGTCCAAATGAGCTATAGCCACACAGGTAGTCACAACTTTTGAGAATACATTTGCTTGTATGCCTTTTAATATAACTGGGAAAATATTAAAATAAGATGAGCTAATTAAGAGGGAGCGCCGGTTAAAGACTGCATAGAGGGCTGCTTGGTGAAGCTGTGGGGAAACATGCAGATGCATTATTTATAATGAAGAATTGGTGCAGTGACTAAGCTAAAAGTGAAATTTGATACTGATTTGTCAGAAGTGCTAAACATTCCCAACTTGCTTCAGTCGGAATTGTGGATGGAAGGTACTGCTGAGAGTTGTGCCATTAGCTCCAATTGCCACGTTTTGCCACCATCTATTGTTACATGCTTCTAAAAGGCAGGCATGGATGGAGTTAAATATTAGTGTGTGAAATAGGAAATTCTGACAGGCAGAAATGGGATTGCTATTGATTGAAAAATAAGCTTGGGGCAGTGGAGAATGGGGAGAGAAATAAAAACATATAACCCCACATGGAAGAGTAAGGTCTACAGGAAATAGCTAAAGAAAATGCAATTTGCTTTTTCTTGCTACAATATGTATACCTATAAAAAGAAAATAAAGTGGATATACCTGCAAGGAGAACAATAGTTTCCAAATCACAAACAGCCTCTCTCAGACTACTGATGATTTTCAAAAAGAAAGAACATGGAGGGATACAGCTCTCTCTTTGTGCCATAAGCATTAATGCTGATGGCCACATAATCCCAAGGAAGTGAGAAAGGCTTTTCAGTGTTTCCTGTGAGCTGCAGCACATAACAATTATTTCACTTTATTTTTATCTTTTTAACTGTAGCTGGGGAGAGGAGTCCGCTGCAGAAATTATTATGCCGTATTTCGCCTCTGTTCACATCAAAAGCATCTGGGTTTGAAGAATGGCAGTATTTTTTGTTTGAAAATAAAAGAGCCTAGGAAAGCATGCAAATGAAGAAGGAAAATCAGCCATAAAACACAGGCAAATGTGTCATGTTTTTCCTATTCACTACCAAGTTTTTCGGATAGCTACTCTCAAAAGTCAGGGGCAGAAGAAAGGGCATACAAAATCCTAGATGGCAAAATTCCCTGAACAGAAGAACATAGTTTAAATTCATTGGGCTTCAATTGTTATTGTTCTTTAAGGATGTTGAGTGTTTTCC